TGCTCTTGCATTTCTGCACTGTACTGCGGTTACTTGTATTTTTTTTTATTTTACTTCCATCAACAGCAGGCAACTAACAGCCAACAATAGTATCGCCTAATCCATCTTCCGCCATGCTATGGCTGCATAGGTGGCTTGCTATTGCCTCTTCTCCCTTTAACCATTTGCTACAATCTTTTGTCGTCGTTGCAACGTTTTATTGGTAATGAGCGATAACTCGTTCAAATATTTAATCTCCTTTAAAGGTGTCATAATAGCTATGTCTGTTTTAATGACGGTTTCTTCTCGAATACGAATCTGTTAACTTTTACTCCTTTATTAAACTGAATTTTTGTTTATAAGACCTTCATCAACATCTATCGTATCCTTAAGCAAATCTACGCGAATGGAACTTCCTTTTCTTGGTATACGCTGTAACTGCGATTCTGGCCGAGTCTAATAAGGCTGCTAGTTGTTTCTTTTTTTTGTGAACTGAAAACAAGTTCTTCTCTTTCTGGTCTTTCTTTCCATCAATATGCCTTGCGCTTACCCCTTCAATTCCCTATATATATGTATATAATTTTTTTTGCTGCACAGTCGTGTGGATATGGTCCAAGTCAATGTTTAGCCCTCGGAGTGTATGGGCGAGGGACGTACTGTTTTTTGGCAGCTTCTGCAGCCTACTAATCTCTCGACGTATTGCCTAATTCAGTGTACGTACATTGCTCGCGCATTTCCTCGGTCTGATGAGGCGATGAAAATGACGTTGAGCAATACCATCAGCTCCGTCAGAATTGGGAAAGACCTTTGCGAGTCGTTAGCCACCAAACGGGGTTTCAGACAGCGCGACTCCCTTTCATGTGACTTCTTTAATCTGATGTTGGAGAAGATAATAGGAACTGCAGAACTGAACCGCTCAGGAACAATTTACTACAAGAGCGTGAAAATGCTAGCGTATGCCGATGACATCGGCATCATCGGTAACAAAAACCGCAAAGTCTGTTCTGCCTCTCCCCAAGTTGCATAAGGAAGTAAAGCGAATAGGTATGTTTGTGGTATTCGTCTAGGTGTTCTTATCAAAACTGATGAGAAGCGCCTGTCATGTGAACGGGATCTAATAGCGTCAATCAGTGAGGAAAGTATTGTCCGGAGGAGCAGTACATAGACGCCCGATGTTAGCAGTCGCGCCTAAAGAGTGAGTTTAGGATGGCTTTACAACGTCTATCCTGAGCATTCATCCAGTTAAGGCTCACAACTTTTGACGCACAGATATGCGGCAAATCAACAACAACAACAACAAAAATGTATGGAACGAATTCAAACCAGCTGATTTTTTACCAATCAAATTAACCCGTTTTGTTTGAGGCACCGTTTTCATTGTGCCGCCTCGCCATGTTCTATGCGTTTTGTCAGTCAATCCATCCAGGCATCGCTGTGACGCAGAAAAGAGTTTCTATCTGGTGGGGCTCTACTTTTCCAATCGCTCAGTTGGACCTCGTATACGTCGCATTATATCGACTTTGTCGCCTTCTCGCGGATTTTGCTGGCAATTTAACAGCCATGAAGAACAACGCGCTTAGGTATAACAGTGGAGGAAAAATTGCCGAGGTCAAATTTGCCTTAGTATCAGGTTTCGATACGCGTATTTGTTTTCGATACGTACTCAGTACTTGGTTCAAAAGTATCGAACGAAAAGTATCGAGTACAATGGCAACTTTCTGGGAAATGGCGATCAAGACCGCTGTTAAGAAAAAACTTTTTTAACCGACTTCCAAAAAACGGAACTTCCACCTTCAGTTCGTCGGGATACTTTTTTTTATGTATGTTACCGCATAACTTTGGACCACGTCCACCGATTTCGATAATTTTGCATCTTGCATCGGAAAGGTAGTGTCACAGGTGGTCCCATACTAATTTGAATCATGAAATATATATATATATATATATATATATATATTTCAATTGAAGTCGGTTTTTTTGCTAAAAATTACTTAATTATATATTTTTTGTTTGTTACTTTGACCAGAGCTTGAAACCAAACCCGCGAACCCAGCTTATTCTTTTAAATATAGAGCTCCATATATATAAATATGAAATTAATTTAGACTTTTGAGTGATTTCTTTTTTCATTTGTTCCTTTTTATTGTTTTTAAAGACAATGAGGTTGTTCACGCTTGACTGGTTACCAGGTTATGTGGTTATATTTTTTATTCAGTTTACAACAATAAAATACACGAACAATAATATTTTTTAACCAGATAACCTGATAACCAGGCAAGTGTGAACAACCACAATAATTTTCTA